TAGCTACCTAACTTCTAGTCTCTCTTACAATCTTACATAAACGTCAAGAATACTAGGTAAGAAACGGTAATACTTCTTACTACTAAAGGCGGCAAAGCGTATAAGTAATGTAAAGAGTAGTAGAGAAAATATACTTAATTTTATAAGAGGAAACTAAAAAGACGCATATTAGAATATATTTCAAAAAAATTAAAGCAATAAATTTACTAGCTTATAAAGCTATTAAAACCCACTTTTATTATAAGCTTATAAGCTATTTGATATTATTATTATTAATATGCGTTTATAAAAACAATAATATATAAATACACTTATAAAAGCTTTAATTTTAAAAAAAAACATTAAATAAACGGAATAAAATTTTTAAATTAAAGACTTAAAAGAATAAATTTAACATTAAATTATAATAATTTAATGAACTTTTCTTTTATTAGTTATTTTAAGAAGCTAAAGTGGCTTCGAAATATAGTGCACAGTCCATCTGCGGACTCGCAAAGCGACCACATGGGTGGCAGATTCAGGCGCACATTCTCCTACTTGATTTTGGGTTAATAAACGGAGGATTTGCAACGCAGGCAGCAAGTGCCGCTGTATATTTTCTAGTCACTTTGGCCACAGTGGTAGGTTTTGGACATGCACTTCACAGGGAAAGCAGAGACAGATACATGCGAGTACTTCTAAGTACTTTTCGGAAACTTGCGCCGGCATAAGAATCCATTCAAGGCCAAAGAACCAGGCGAATTTCAGCCAACTTGGGGCTGCCTCAGCAGGGCCAACTAAAACCACTTGGGCACTGCCGGCAACGTTGGTCAGCGTTCAAAACGTTGCAAAGTCAACGCGTCCCTATCCAGGGTCGTGAGCCGCCGCCGCCAGTAGAAACCCAAGGATCCCGCTGGCCCAGAACCAATACCTGAGTCCGAGTCCGGTCTGAGTCCAACTGTAGCCCTGACCATGGTATGCGGGACGACATGGAGTATTACCCCTAACGAGAGATAACAAGTATACGACACAGCACCTATATTTTAATTGTGGTATTGTTTAGCCTTAGCTCTTCGCTGACCTACCACCTAGCGCATCTTTCACAGCTTGTAGCCTACTGACGTCCACCTCGGGCAATTCTTGCTCACCCTTCTGCACTGGTGCGGGTAGAAATCCAACTGCCACTAGATACGCAAGGTACATGCCTATGGTGCCTATATCTACAGCCTGCGGTCCACCGGGGGCGCCAGAGCTTGTTCTCTTGTCGTAGAGTTCTAGAGCGGCTGTAGCTTGTGAATCGTCCATCTCCGGGGCGATGGTATTGGCAGGCAGGTCCCCCGTCACAAAGTGGAATAGTGGGAGCAAGGCATGCTCCTCGTTGGCCTCATCCTCTACGTACTCGACAACCTTGGCGCACCAGTCTCGGTACGGTACGAGAGGCGTACGGTATCCATAGAGCTCCATAGCGCCAATCCACTCGTTGAGCTTCAGTCGCGGATGGCTGGTGACCTGGGCTACGCTGAGAGACTGCCCGGTCACGGTAGGAAGTAGCAATCCTGCGGCGACAACGATGCGGCTGACCCGCGAAACGGGTACTGCGTTGAGCGTGTTGTTGATGTCTGGGCGTGCCCCGACCTGCAGGCAGCCTTTCCATAACCGTACCAAGAAGTCGTCGGTGACAGAGATACCGGACGCCGGGTCTCCAGTGATATACCCAGGCCGAACTATGGCTCCTGTAAGCCCTCTGGCCCCAGCGTTGCGAATAATGTATTCGCTGGCCCACTTGGACTGCCCATATCCTGTCCCGAGGCCCTTACGGCTACCTTGAAGGTCATCCGTCTCCAGCACACCCGTCTTGAGGTCTCGCGATAGCTGCACGTAATGGTTGGTGTCTAGAGTTGACGTAGAGCTGACAAAGCACAGTCGCTTGGGCTTCCCCTCCGTGCACAGCCGGATGCAGTCCAGAGTACTGATCACATTGGTCGCCCTTAGACTTGAATATGGCAGCATCCAGTTGACGTGAGCGCCGTTGTGAATGATGAGGTCTACAGAGTTGGAGAGGCGCTTCCAGGTGTCTTCGGAGACGCCGAGGGACGGCTTAGAGATGTCACCCACCACCGTCTCAATCATGGACGACCACTCCGGAGACCAGAGGCCGTAGGCCGCTGCCGTAGACTCTACGCGTGCGAGACCTGCTGCTGCATCACCCGCACGAATGTGCACAATGACACGTGCCTTTGCTGGGCCTTCGAGAAGTTCACGTAGGATGTACGATCCGAGGAAGCCTGTGGCGCCGGTTAGGAGCACAGTAGGTGGCGTCGCCGTGTAGTCCCAATCTGTCGGCGCCTGCGGGATGCGGTCTGGGAGCTGGGACAGCAGTTCCCGGGCGTCAGCCGCGTACGACTCATCCTCAGACTCTCCATCTCCGGGAAGAGGCATAGCATCTAATCGCAGACCGATAGGATCCAGGGCTCTGTCAATCTCCAAGGCGAGGGCATGGAGAGTCTGAGACCGGAATATAACGCTAACTGGCAGGTTGATGTCCTTCCATTCGCTCTTAAGGCGGAAAAACATTTGCTGTGCGAGGATGGAGTGCCCACCCTCGTCGAAGAAGTTAGACTCCGGGACAAACATTCGTGCGGAGCGATTGGGGAGAACCGAAGCCCACACCGCGGCTAGTCTTTTCTGCGTATCAGTCATATTGGCGACAACTGACGAGGCTCTCCTTTCGGCGCCCGAGAGAAGATCCACCGGGTCGGGGAAAGGGAGCGCCGGTTTGTCAATCTTGCCGTTTGGATTCAGTGGCATCCGAGCCAGGGGGATGAAAATGCTTGGGACGGCGTAGCTGGGAACCTTGGCTGCCAAGAACTTCTTGCAGTCGTCAGATAGCAGCTTGAACCGCCTGAGCATGCTGGCCATCGTTTCGGACGTCATCTCTTGCTCAATAACTTCTGGGTCGTCTTCCGATTGGAGGTGTTGGAACCACCGCCTTGTCTCGGGGACAAAGTACGTGACTAGAGTCTGCTCCTCGTTTTTGTCTCTCCGTATAACTGTAATGTTGTCACGTACGTATGGGTGCTGGGACAAGGAGATGTCGATCTCGCTTAATTCTATCCGGAAACCTCGGATCTTAACTTGTGTATCGATTCGACCTGTGCACTCAACACTTCCATCCTCGCGCATCCGACCTAGATCACCAGTCCGATATAGACGGTCTCGCGGCCCCTTGTAATAACCAACAGAAGCGTCTTGGGGCTCGGACTCTCGAATCCACTTGGCAGGATCGACGAACCAGTTAGACACAAATTTGGACCGGTTCAGTTCCTTTGTTCTCTCGTCGTCTCCACGATAACCTTCCGCAAGACCCGCGGCACGGATGAATAATTCACCAGTCTCGCCAACTCCGCAGAGTCTGTTCCTATCTTGACGGTCTACAACCAGCAGCTGAACATTCAACATGCCCTGGCCAACAGGGATGATGTCTGGCAATGAGTCAAGGAAATCCGGGTCCTCAGCTTTGCTTGGAATCTCGAAGAAGGAGACGGCACGCTGCGACTCGGTGGATCCGAATAGATTGATCACCCTTGTGTTGGGTGCAAGGTCGCAAAGCTTTCTGCAATCCTTCTTGGTTAAAAGATCGCCAACGAAGAAGGCCCTCCGAAGTGAGGAGAATTGAGTCGTGGCGCCGCCAATAAGAATCTGGCCAAGGGCAGGAGTAAGGTGAGTCACCGTAGCCTTATGCTCATTCATCCACTCAGCTAGCAGCCCGTATGTAATGACTTCGACGGGGGGGCAGATCAGCGTTCCCCCCAGGAAGAGCGGCGTGAAAATGTCCCGCTGAATTGGATCATGTGCAATACCGGACAGCATTGTGAATCTGTCCGTCTCCGAAAGGCCAAACCTCTCTGCCATCCATGGCGTATAGTAGGTCAGGGAGTAATGGCGTCCTTGTACGCCTTTCGGGATTCCCTCAGTGCCTGAGGTGTACGAAAGTGTCGGTATAGAATCGGGACCAACAGTGACATCAGGGTCGTGTTCCATGAGGGGTGCCTGGGCTGCGAGACAGTCTTGACCCTTGACAGTGCCTCCGGTTAGTTGCCCGTTATTCGAAAGGTGCAGCGCCGGGACTGTGGCCTTGACGTCCAGATCGGTGGTGATGAAATCGCTGACAAGGCTGGGAAGATGACCAAACTCGTCAATGGCTCGTTGGATGCAGATGAGAAACTGGGGTCGCGAAACGCCTAATAGAACCTTTTGGCGCTCTCCAGGGTACTGTGGATCGAGGACGCTGACAGTTGCGCCAGCCTTTAGAGCACCCATGTAGGCAACGACAAGGTCGACGCCTCGGTAGGCATAGATGACGACGACATCGCCTACATTGCAGCCATGAGCTATGAGGTGATGTGCTAACTGGTTCGAGGCCTGATTGATCTGGCGATATGTGAAGACGCGCTCGGGACTTCGTGAGCTCCGTGTTTCAATAACACATTGCCTATTAGGCACTCGCTTCGCATTGGCTGCGAATATGTCATGGATTGCTACAACGTTGAGTAAGAAAGTCGCTCAACGACGCTGGTCGTGCTTGGGCACAGCTTTACTACTTACCTCCACGGAATCCGCCCCAATCCAAGTCACAAGTAGGATCTGGAATCAAGAAATTCTGCCGCATGTTGAAGGAAGCCAACCGGCATAGAATTCTATACCATTGAAGAAGGAATGGGGTAATACGTTGGTGAAAGGGTTATGAGCTAGATGTATGCTAAGAACTACTGAGAGAAAAAACTGAGTCACCTCCGATGACCGGCTTATCACATGACCTAACCCCTTCGTCTGGTACCTGAATTCGAGTTAAACGCCAGCTGGCACCAAAGTTAAAGTCTGACCGCTGCGTGCACTTGTAACGCAGGGCCAAGACCGATGTACCCAGAGCCATCCATTGATCGTGCTGGGCCATTGTCATCGGCGACAAACAACGAGAAGTTCACAGCAGGACTCCGGCACGAATTGCTGGGTGTGGTTAATTACTAGAGGTACGGAGTACATAACTACTCACGCACCCACTTCTCCGCCCTACTCGCCCACCACCCTGGGCATGATCTCACCAAAACCACCACCCCACCCTACTATTCGTAGGTACCAAAGCAACGCACGCGATCATCCTCCTCAACCACCCTGCCCATGAACGTAAGTCGTGTCTGTTTCGCCACTTTATTTCCTTAAGGCTTTCGATCATAGAGCATTTGCTGACGTGTGCTGGCTTTGTTAGATGCGTTGTTAGTGACACCGGACACTTCGACATCCAAGCCATCTCTCTCGTACATCGCGAAAATGACAAAAAAAAACGCCCCAGAGTGAGTCCCCGTCATGCACTGCTTTGTTCTTCGACTGTCCCGACCAGACCGAGTCCAAGGGCCCAAACCCAGAAGCGAAACGAATACGCCCGACCACCAATCCTTTCGGTCCTCACGCCAATTTCGGATCAGAAGCAGCCGAGCCCAATAGCAAGCCTGTGTTAGACGCCGCATATCCAACGATAAGCTGTCACAATCCAGATTGCGACGTGTAGTACAATTCGCGCCGAGCCAGTGCACATATGCTACGTCATATGCGAAAGAAGCATCCAAAAATTCTCTACCTCCAATGCGACTTCCCAGGTTGCCGGCTGCGATGTCACACAGGCAAAGACAAGCAGAAACACTACAGAACACACACGCCAGGGTCAACCGCAGTAGATGGCCTTGCCCGGTATTAGATTGCCAGAGCATGTATAGGAGAAGAAAGGGGATGCTCTGACACCTGAAACGTTGCACCCCGAGCATGGCGCTGCCTAGCTCAAGGATGCGAAGAGACGTTCCGGCCCTTCATCAGGTACCGAATACTACCAATGTCCAGCAAATGGATGCAATGAGACTTTCAGCAGGAGATAGTGCGATCTCATTTTGAAGAGAAGCATGCTCTAAAGCGGGGGTTTCTCTGCACCTATGATGGATGTGAAGTGGAGTGAGTGTCCAAGTCAGCGGGCCCTGAATCTCCACCAAAAGAGACCATCTCAAGTTGGAGGTCAAATGCCCTGTGGAAGATTGCCCAAAAACCTTGACGACAGAAGCAGGTATCAGGAACCACGTCCTGACTATTCGTGTACACCACTTGCCTAATTGGCCTCTCTATGTGTGTATAACCTTGGCTCAGGAACACCAAGAGGAAGCTCAGGTCACGCTCATGGGGAACTCTGGAAGCTCACTGTTGCTCAGTGAGCAAGCAATAGGTGATTAGCGCCTCGGTTGGTGTCAACCGGTGTGTAAAAGCGGCGGTGTGGGCTGTCTAAATTAGCCTTCTGTTACAATGCGAGAGTCATGTCATAGCCAACTTTCATGTACCCGTCAGCGACTAAATGGCTAGCCCACTTAGTTGCCAACGGGTAATACTGACCAGTGCGACGTCTTGGCATGCAGATTTTCGAAGGGGGGAATGCCGGTCAGGGTCAGGGCTCTTAAACTCTGTCCTTCAATATCGTGCACGGTTAATATAGTGTGTAATGCGAACCGCCCAAGGTTGCCGTCATGCACGACCGTTGGAGTTTCCACGAGCCAGTTTTGTTGTTTTGGGGGCACGAGAAACAAGAGCGCATAGCGTACATCTTACGCTGCTTACATTGATCATGTTTATTTCAAACAAGACATATGCATATACCTATGTTTATGTCCGATGCAAACCCCAATTCAAAATTTCCAAAATACTAATTCGTAATCCAGTACTCACCATCAATTATTACATTATGGTCTTCACGGCTAGTTCGCGATACGTTAGCGCTTGGGTTAGCAAGGCAACCTATGCGCTCGTTCAACAACAGCATGACATGTAGCATTGATAGCAAACGGGAAGTTCCGATGGTTGATGCAACAAGTGTTGAAGACATCTCAGCGTGGCAGACTGCTTTTTTAGCCTGGCGGTCTGGTCTTCCAGGAGCTACAGGATGATCAAGACCTGCCAGTTGCCGGCAGATTAAGGGAGACGGCGGTGATTTGGTCCGTTTTACTAAAAAGGCAGACTGGATTCTTCTTTGAGGATGAAAAGCTATCCGAATTTCTGAAGAGAAAATGGAAAAACTTTGATTTTAGCAAAGACTTGCCAACAATTTATAGTAGTCATGGACCACATGCGCAGGCTTTGAATGCGTTCGGTCGGCATTTGACTTGGTTTCCTATATTTGGCCTATTGCTGACTTCCATGTAGAAGGCTTCGCACATTTTTCGGCAAGCACAATTGAGTTACAAGTTAACTTACAAGTAAAGAGCGGAAAACCAAACTCAACTCACGTTGGTTTCTAAGTTTTAGTTGTGGCCTAACTCATGAGTTACTGGTTGGGTTGATGAATGTTGAGATATATTCTCCAGCTCAACCGGATTCGTCCCGTCTGCCCCTAACTCAACCCAACCTGTCCCATCTTCCACTAGCTCACGCCGGTCTATGGAATCAAGTCCGGGGTATGGGGCTGCAGGATTATACGCCACATCTGTGTTAGGAGTCGGTTGAGTGTTTGGCTGTGCCAAAGAATACCGCGGTGCCTGCCCCTTCTTGCGATAATGAATCGCGAATATGGGAGCAAAACAAAGCAAAGCACCAAAAATAACACCGCCAACGACACTCCCGGCGAGGGCACCTGGACTTATGTTGCTGTTTGTAGGACTTGTGGGAGTAGGAATCCCACCCAGCCCGGTTAGTCTCGGAAGTCCTGGCCAGGCACTTGTGGCATCGGCCGTCGTGAAGTAGCATGACTCGGTGATTGCAGAAGCCGTGGTGCAGAGCGGCATCCATGTGAATCCTCCTTCGAATCGCTGCGTAAGGCAATATATAGCCGCTGAGTGTTTGGGATCAGTGACGGGGCTTCCTTATTAAAGTTAGTTGCATAAATGGCTTTTATGCGGAAACAGGGTTTTACCAAAAGGCGTAACTTCCTCCTTTACCACATTGGGAACTGGAAGTAAGCCCGGGCAGATAATTGCAACAAGTCGTCCGCCAGTCGCAGGTATCCCCAGTACAGCAACCGACGCCATAGATATCGGTGTTGAATTTGCAGGTATAACCGCTGGGACACGTCACAGCAGAGGTTCGGTCCTTGAACCCGCATAGTTCAGGGCTTTGTGATGCTTCCGCTCGTGGGTCAATCACTGGTGCACTCGTTAAATCGTGCATGGTAGTTGAGATTAATTCCCCAGCCATGGCCTTGGATAGCATTGACCTGCCGCAGGAGTTCGAGATGGATCGTTCATAGGAAAAGGTAGGCCCTAATGGAAATGCCTGTCAGGATCTTGCTTTATGAAGGCTATAATCGTTTGAATGGTATGTGGCAGAGATTGAGCCAGAAAAGGTGATTAGCCCCTTTTCTTTCAGAAAGGGACACGGAGACATCTACTACATGCGTATAAAGTTGCCTGTCTTGGGCGAGGGCAACCAGCGACCCCGCTTGAGCCACACAGGATGGGTGCGCAAGACAAGATGCAGATTCTTTGCAAGGTAGAATTGTGGCTTGTAAGTAACTTCCCGCTTAAGCCTTTCTATAAAACGCGACGAATCATATGCCCTGAGGAAGCAAAGCCTTCTCTACGCGTCGCCCCAAAAGTTCACCAGTGGCTAATCGACCGACAGACCCAGACCAGCCTGTCGGTCTGGCTGGGGTCTATCGTGGCTCTAGATCAGTCGGTCTAGTAGGACTCCCTGTACAGAGCAAGCTCGGTCTGTCTACTCTTGCCTTGGTTGAGTTTCATGAACATTGGCGATATAAAAGAGAGGGTCAACCTATTCGCCTTATAGAACCTCGACGGCTTGAGAGGTATCAAAAGGAGGGCTTCCTGATGGCTTAAGCACACAGAGTAAGGAAGGGGCTTTAGGAGCCGTTGAACCATGTCAGAAGCAGCCGTTAGAGTGTACAGTATATAGTGTTATTAGACATACTAGGGTCTCAAGATTATGCCCTTCATGATATGAATACCTTAAAGTTAGGTCTTTAAGTAAGGAGCCCGAAAGAGACCCTCCACGCCTGGGATGGTTAAAATTGAGTCACATTAGCCAGCTTGGGCCATTAGGCAGAGGACAGGGGACGAGACCAAGACAGTCGGACATTCACTATTCAGAGGCAACAGAAAATCACATTACCAAGATATGCCTCCAAGTTTGTGAATTCCATATGTTCGCTGGTTTATAAACATGGATAATTAAGCTCAGTATTTGAAATACACAAGTGAGACATGGTCGTGCACCACAACGGGCTAGGCAAACGCCTGATGGTGATAATTTCTTTCTGTAGATGAAACATGGCAATCATAACGGCAGTTTACATAGCAATCATGACTGTGTATAGTAGTCGTAGTTGCCGCTGGAAAGCACCTAGATTATTTAGGGTTTGCAAATACAAGACTGAATGCCCCGAAATAAGACTGATGAAAGTCTCATACCGTTCTTGCCAGGAGGTTTAATCCAAGTGATAAGACCGGGTTGAGAACCCCGTCTCTGCCAGCAGGGCCGCCTATACACCTGATGAGGCTGATGCTACACAAGACGGTAAACGCATGCGTCTGGCGCCCTCTGCTCTCAGAACCTCTGCTCTCAGAAGAGGGATAACCGGTTTTATCAAGTCCAAGGGCCGCTTGCACAACGCTGTTGATAGAAATT